TGAGGGATGATCTGCGTGCCCAGATTGTATGACTCAGGGATAAACCAGCTGGGTGGAGTCAGATAGAGCTGAAATTGTGTCCTGGCTGAAACCGCCTACCTGTGGTGTGACCTTGAGCAAGTTACCTAACCTCTCTGAGCCTCAGCTTCTCCCTCTGTAAAATAGCACCATTCCTCTGAAGGTACCGCCAACCTACGGAGCATGTTTGTAAGAATGAGAAAAATGCCCCTCTGGGCACAGGGCTTGACCAGTGAACTGCAGGCTGGACCTGAGCCTCCCCACGCCCCCCCAGCTGGGCATTTTGGTGCAGTGCCCAGTCTGTATATTGAGGAGTGGTATCCTGGGTGCCGTGGACTCTTCATAAAGTCCACAGATCCCCTGTGCGCATTAACCAAGTGTCCCTTTTCCTCCCCCCTCCCCCACCCTGTCTCAGCCCAACCACAAACAGCACAGAAACCAACACGCAAGATGTGAGTGTTAGGACAGAAGGAATGAAATAATTATGGAGAGGAATGCCACACGAAGTCTCCTAACAGCTGGGCTAGATTCCATGTCACGCTGACCCTCCTATCTGTCCGTGTGCCTTTGGGCCCTTGGGAGAAAGTGAATGGGTGCTCGCCGATCCTTTCAATCCTGAATTCATTCATGTGGCCAGCTTTGGTGAACACCTGTGTCCGGGCTGGTTCTGCTGGCTGGCGGGAAGCCCAGTTGCCTGAGCCCAGCCCTGCTGAGTGGTGAAAATCTGGAGCGGAGGACCAGACCAGCTCGTGGGAAAAACTTCAGCATCGCTCTAATAGCAGGCTTCTGCTCTTGTGTACCTCTTCAGGGCTCACAGAGCTTTCCTGATACATTTTCTCAGCGCGTCCTCACCCAGGTCCTGGGTAGGCAGGGTGGGACAGCTGCTGCCATCTTATGGTGGAGTGAACCAAGGCTCCAAGGATTAAAATCACTGCCCACTTAATAATAATCTCTGGTTGGAGACGGAAACAATTTCGCTGGTCCCTGGGCTCAGCTTCAAATCAGAGGCTCAGAGGGGAAGCCGGCCTTCCACTGCCCCACTGGCTTCCTTGCTTCCTTCCACGTCCCTTCCAAGGGAAGAGAAGCTACTATTCTGCTCAATGGCAAAATGCACCAATGGGCAGGACCCTGGCCCTCACAGATGTGCAGTGAATGGGGCTGCCTTCTTCCAGGGTCTTCTGTTTCTCCTGGCCCAGGAAGAGGGCCCCGGCTTATCCTGGACTGTTTTATCCCTCTGCATGCTGACTAAGAGTGTGGGTTTGGACGTGACTGGCAAGAAAGATTCGGATTCATGTTTGGAGGGAAATGGGAAGCCTCTCCGGCCTGAGGACCCAAATGTGCTCTCCACCCAGCTCTCCGCATCTCTGCATGGAAACATGGAAGAGACCGGTTTTTAATAAAGTGGTCCTTTCTCCATCTCCTGCTTGGCATATGTTGCAGGTGGGGTCCCCGGGGAGCCCACTGCCATGGAGAGGAGGTCTGCCTGTGGGATGTTTATTGAGAGCGCTCTGGGGGTACACCCCTATGGAAGGGAAGGGTAGACGCAGGGGTGCGCAGCTGCCAGGCAGCCTCCACAAAGGCCTGGGCCCACCCTGAGGGGTTCCTGAGGATGCAACCCCAGCCTCTGTTATCTCTGAGGCTGTCCATCACTCACGCCAGCAGTCCCGCCGAGGAAGGTGGCGTGTCCTCGGGGAGGGGATCCTGCAGGGGGTTAAGGTAGAGAGAGGTGACTGCGGGCGGGGGGCGGGGGGAAGGGGGGCAGCACTCCCAGCGGCTGCAGGAGTCCTCCCTTCCTGAAATGGGACCTAGCGAGGCATCCGCGAAGCCACCTTGTTCTCGTGCTTCTTTGCGCGTCTCTCCTGAGGACCTCAGAGGAGGCGGGGTGATGGGCGGAGCCGGATCCCGCATTGCTGGTTCTCTAGCCAAACGCCGGGACGGAGCAACAGAACCTGCCCTCAGCTCTGATGGGGCGGGGGCACAAGCCACGGGCAGGAGTGGTTGTTGTGAGCCCAGGGCTTCCTGGGGGACGGGGAACTTGGTGATGAGTTTGGAAGAGGAGCAGTTATTTAGGAGAAGGAGGACACGACCCGTGAGGCAGGCTGGGATGAGAGCAGTGGGTCCAGGGGCTCCGTGGGGTCCTTCCATAACAGGAAGCCCTGACCCCTCCTCCAGGGAGGCCGCCAGCTTCTGCCACCCAGGAGGGCTCGCTGCGGGCAGCACAGGCCTAGCTCAGGAGGAAGGCCTGGGGACGATGTAGCCGCATCCCTGCTGGAGCATCCCTGCTGGACGGGGTGCGGGAGGCCCTCCTGCCCCCCCCACCCGCCAGGGACGCCCGTTGCTGTTGTACGGATCCGAGGGTGTGGTAGGGGCCACCGCCCAGGCATGGAGTGGGAGGGCCAGGAGGGCAGACACGGGGCGGGAGCCCAGCTGCGCTGGGGGCCGAGGTGTCCGGGAGAGCGGAGGACCGCGGGGATTCGGGGCGGCCCCACCGGCGTCGTCTAGCGCAGGTTTTTCCACAGCGGAAGGCAGATAGGGATGGCGGGGAGCGCTGATTGCTTTTGGGGGCCCTCCGTGACTCAGAGCACCCTCCAGCTCGTTGAACCGGGGCCAAACGGCTGTGTGCCGTTCCCCCTGCGCTCTGGCGGGTGCATAATGAAGAAGGGATTTACCCCATATGTGATGACCCCTTCACCCTGAAGTCGCCCACAGGTGCCTTCTCTGGAGCCCGGTGCTGTGCAGCGAGACCCGCAGCCCTTCCTTTCATGAGCTGCTTTGCGCTCTCTCCCCACCCCTCCCCACCCATCACTCCCCGTTTATGTTTAAGGAACGGAAGTTGTAATTTTCTAAATGGACTCAGACTTTGAAAGGTTCAAGTCCTGAATTCTCTGCTCGTGGGACTCCGGCCTTGGCCACCTGGTCTCCTCCAGCCGGGGACCTGGCTTTGCACGCACGGACCCCAGGCCAGGGTGGAGCGGAGCTGGGAAGATCGGGACACGAGCCTCTGGTCCTTTGCTGCGCATCCCCCAGGCCAGGAGCTGGCTGAGGGCAGAGGCAGAGTGGGGGAGGGGCGGAGGGCTCGAAGACCCCTCCCCTCCCCCACCCCAGTGCCTCTGCCCTCAGCGACCTCACCCATTTTGTCCATTCCTTTGGGCTGAGGCACTTCTCCCAAATCTCTAGTAGCGCTGCAAATATTTATGATCTGGGCAACCCACAACACGTTACGGTGGGTTCACTTTTTAGCTGGGAGACCATCTCGGGCAATGGGACCCAAAAGGGTAAGTTTAGATGCAAGGAGAGGAGCCCCTATTGGGAAAGAGAGTGCGGCGGAGGGGAGGAGATGTCGGAGATTGAAAGTAAAGCTCCTGGGGCTGGGGGGTGGGGGGTTGGGACTGGCCTGGGGAGCAGAGTGGGGGTGGGGCGTCCACCATGATTCCCCCAAGAAGAAGCTGGCCGCGAACGGTTTTGCGGCTTAGGCCGGGTGACACTTCCAGTCTGGAGATGGCGGGGCTGGAGATCCGGAGAGAGACCCCGACTGGATATTCAGATCCAGGGGTTGTCCGCACAGGGGTGGGATTTAAAATCCTGAGCTGGCCCTTGACGGTCGTCGAGGAGGCCGGGGATGCGGGTGGGGAGGGGCTTTGGCCGGGCTTCACAGATGGGGGGCCTGCCGTTGAGAGAGACGGAGGGCCTTGAGAGTCGACCGGGAGACACGCTGGAGTGAGCTCGAGGCAGCTTTTGTCCCTTTGGGATGATGGCTTTTTCCCAGAGTCAAGGGCTTAAGGAAAGGAGCAAAGCACAGAGCACCTATAGTGCTGCCTTCCAGACTGGTGGACCCAGAGGGGAAGGCTCGGGTTCCTGAGCAACTGGGGAGCCCAGGGCTCATCCTTTTCACAGGTCCAGACGGGAGGGGCACACGCCCATGGCAGAGACCAAGGCTGGCCATGTTCTGGTGGCTCAGGTCCCAGCAGGCACTGGGGCAGCCTCTCGCAATGGGGTACCAAGGATGCTGGAACTGGGTCTTGCCTTATCGGTCCAAGGGAGCACACGTCCTTCAGAAGATCAGCTGCCAACAAGTGCAGTGCCAGCAGGCTGGGCATCTTGGGGCTCTGGGCACCCCAGAGAGAGAGACTTTGTGTCCTTTCTGCTGATGGGGCCAAGTGGGCCAAGGCCTGCCTCAGTTATCTTTGACAAGAGAAGGTGTCAACCGGGTACAAGTGACTGCCCCAGTTGGTAGCTAAATTCAAAGCATCGCATCACCACCAAGAGTGCATCAGTCAGCCTTTTTCATATTCTTTTCCATTTTTCTTTTCTTTTTTTTTTTTTTTGCGGTACGCGGGCCTCTCACTGTTGTGGCCTCTTCCGTTGCGGAGCACAGGCTCCGGACGCCCAGGCTCAGCGGCCATGGCTCACGGGTCCAGCCGCTCCGCGGCACGTGGGATCTTCCCGGACCGGGGCACGAACCCGTGTCCCCCGCATTGGCAGGCGGACTCCCAACCACTGCGCCACCAGGGAAGCCCCATTATGTTTTATCACAGGATATTGAATATAGTTCCCTGTAATATACAGTAGGACCTTGCTGTTTATCCGTCCTATATAGTTTGCATCTGCTAATCCCAAACTCCCAGTACATCCCTCCCCCGCCCTTCTCCCCCTTGGCAACCACAGGTCTGTTCTCTATGTCTGTGAGTCTATTTCTGTTTCGCAGGTAAGTTTACTTGTGTCATATTTTAGATTCCACATATAAGTGATACCATATGATGGTATTTATCGTTCTCTTTCTGACTTGCTTCTCTTAGTATGATAATCTCTAGATCCATCCATGTTGCTGCAAATGGCATCATTCCGTTCTTTTTTTTTATGGCTGAGTAGTATTCCATTGTATATATGTACCACATCTCATTTTTTATCCATTCATGTGTCGGTGAACATTTAGGTTGTTTCCATATCTTGGCTATTGTGAATAGTGCTGCTGTGAACATAGGGGTGCATGTATCTTTTTTATTTATAATTTTGTCCGGATATATAGGTCTGGGAGGATTCTAATATCAGTTCTGTCACTCACCCAAGGTGGGACTTTGCAATTTATTCAATTTCCTTATCTGTCAAATGGGCATGAAAATCCCCAGGTCGCCTGCCTTACAGGGCTGTAAAGCGAATTAGATGGGCTCATCGATAAGAAACTAATCTGAAAATTAAAAAGAGCTTCAGCTTCCAGCTTTCCACGACTCCTCCGCCTGAGTTCACCCTGAAATCTCTGAAGGCTGCAACATCATGGCCCAAACGGGGGCTGTTCTGTTGCCTTCCTGGGCTCCTCCGAAAGGTCAAATGACACTGCAGCTGGGAATTGGGAAGAACCAGCCTTAGCTCAGCCCTGAGCTAAGAGCAGATGACAAGATGGAAAAACTGGCTCTAAAAGCAGGTAAGTTCCTCCACGTGCCGCCTCCCACTCAAGGGTCGTTTGACTTTCCATCAACAGCGGCTAATGATGCGGGGAGATACGACCCTGGGCCGGGGGGTCGGGGTCCATTTCTGCCCCTTCCCGTGCTGCGGAGCCTCATGGCGGGCTGAGGGCCTCCGGAGTCTCTGGGAAGCCGCCCACCTGTAAAGGGCCGAGAAGATTCTTCGGCAGGAAGTGGATGCAGTCCCAGAGGGTGGGGTTTTTCCCTCACTGACCATCCGGGGAGGCGCCTATCTTTCCTGGGAGCACGGGAGGTGCCCACATCTGCTTGGGCTGGGTGCTTCTGGAGAGGTGGAGGCCCCGGTTTCTGAGTCGAGGCCAACCCCATCAGCCAGAGTTCATTCACTTCCGTAGGCGCTCCTCTGACAAAAGGTTTATGGAGCCCAGCGCTCCACACTGGACAGCATCGGCCCAGAGGGTCGGGCGTCCAGTCTGATTCACAAGCTCCCTTGTCTGTTAATCTGCAGTTCTGGCCCTGGCGGGGGTCCACACGCAGCTGTGCTGTCACCCGGGAGCCTAGGCGGTCAAGGGCTGCGTTTCCAGTCTTCCACACACCCATCTTGCATGGGGCCCATGGGACTCTGTGTTTCTGAAGGCTCCCCTTGTTCTCTCTGTTCTGGAAGCCAGTCCCTTCCTCAACGGCTGTCCACCTTACTGGTACGACTTGGATTTGCTGGTGTCCATGCCTCCTCCACTTGTGGTTCAATGGTAATCCCAGCTATTCTCAGACAAACATGGTAATCCCAAGCTCCTTGTCAGTGGTTGGTGTAGAGTAAGCATGTGACACAATTCTGGTCAATAGGGTGCGAGAGGAAATGAGCTGGGGGAGGAGCTTCCAGGAGAGGTTTCCCACTGACTAAAGAGACGCGTTAGAAGAAGTGCCTTCTCTCTCCCTCCGTGGTGTCTGTGTGCGATGCCTGGAACATTGGCAGCCATGTCGAAACCATGAGGGGAGCTAGCCTGAGGACAAAGCTCACACACTGAGGAACCGAGTTGGAACACAGAAAGTACCTGGGTCGATGTCACTGAATTGCTGAATTGATCAACCTGGTGCTGCCCTTCCTCAAGACTTCTTGCTCTGTAAAATTTTCTTCAGTGCCTTTTCTGGTTGGTTTTTTCTGCTCCTTGCAGCGGAAGCATCCTCACTGATGGGGTCCCTGTCTCCATGTGCTTACAGCCTCTTTTGACTTCTTTGTGAGCCGGAATCAAGAGATTGGAATCAAGTGATCTCATACTCTGAAAAAACTGAGCTGAAGCTGCCGAAGTGTCCAGGCTGCATTGCTGGATTTTCCCAAAGCTGTGTGCTTTGGTGACGGGGGCACTGAGCCGAAAGGCCTTCCCCAGCGGTGAGGTGAGCCCGTGTCCTCGGCACCCCTGGCCCCCAGGGCATGAGGGCTGGAGGTCGTCATGCTCATCTCTTGCGTGGGTGGGGGTCAACCCTCCACTGCTGGCTCACACCGTGCCCCTCCCCGTCCAGGGCATCCACCCTCCAGGGACCTGCAGCTGTTGCCCACCCTCCTGAGGGATGAGGGTCCTTGGGCTCTGCTGCCCCAGAGGAGTCTGTCCCGCCCCTGCCTTTCAGTCCGTGGCTGCTTTCACCCGAGGACACTTTCAGCCTGGGAAGAGCAGGGCTTCCGGGAGCAGCAGGGTCAGGGCCTCAGGAACGTCTGGGCAGGAGCCCCCGGAACTAAGCCAGATGTGGAGGGGCCTGGGGTGCGGAGGGCAGCCCATTTGTCAGGGCTGAGATTCTGGGTCGGGGCCAGGCTGACAACAAAGGTGACCCCCGGTTCTGGGAGCTCCTGGGGGTGCGGGGGGGAAAGCCGTGTCCTTTTCATCTGAGCTGCCCTGTGCTGGAAAGTTCGGTAAGTGCTCAGGGGACGTGTGTCCAGTAGATGCAATCTTTCATTCATTCATTCAACAGAGACATTGTGCCATTTTGTGCTAAGCAAAGAGATACAGTGCTGAGTAGGACAAGCAAGGTCCCTGTCCTCTGGGTCCTACGACCAAGTTGGGCGGGGGGGGGGCGGCGGACGTAAACCAGGAACCGAATAACTGATTAAGCCGCCAGCTAACTAGCTAATAAGGAACGACTATTTGTAGTTAGTAATATGTGTGACAAAGCATGACAGCCTGTGTATAGCGTGGGAAGGGGATACTGGAGAAGGTGGATGGGGGTCTAGGAAGGGCCTCACCAGGGCAGAGCCGGGAGGATGAGAGGAGGCCAGACATCAAAGCTCCGCAGGAGGGGTCTTGGGGGAAGAGGCGCCAGATCAAGGACCCCGGGGTGGGGGGAGGGGACCAGACAAGTTCAAGGCCAGGTGTCTGGGAACTTCTGGGGACCCCGGTGGAGTTGAGGCTGAAGAGGATGTTGTGGGCCATGGTCAGGGGGTCTGGAGAGACAGCTGAATGGTTCTGAGTTCCAGAATGTGTGTGTGGAGCATCTGTATCCTTCTCTGCCTAAGGTTATCATTAGTTCCAGAGACCTGACCGGAAGTGCGTCCACATTCAGGGACAAAACGGCACCGATGCAGAAGAGGAGACTTGCGTCCACACTCATGTGGATGTGACCTGTGATGTGCAGGGCTGCGGCTCTTCCTGCTTCGCCCTTCTGCCCGCCCCCACCCAGCCCTCACCTCAGTCTGTCGGCCAGAGTTTACGTGGTTTTGCCCTGGAGGCCCTGCCGCCCACCTCACCCCCAGTGCCCCTTCCACACAGCCCTCCTGGTGTGGGGAGATGGTGGACTCCAGCCAGGGATGACACCCAGCCCCTCCGTGGGAAACCGGGCCGAGAAAGTTTGGCCCTGGGACGTTCCTGTCCCCGTGCTCCCTCCCTCCCAGGCCCCCCACCTGCCAAGCGCCTCTGTGTCTGCCCAGGCCTGGGTTCCCAGACCTTGTGCATCTGGCCTGGCTCTCTTTCTCCAAATGACCCCTGGCCCAGGTACCCTGCTTGCCTCTGCTGCTGGCTGTACCCTTCCCTCCCGAGGATGGGCAAAGATGGCATTCGGAGGCTTTGGTTTGGCACCTCTTAAGGACAAGAGTTAATAAAGAAATGAAAAGAGGCCCGGAGGTGAAGGTAGGCCTGGCTGGAATCTCAGCGTTCAGACCCGTGGGATGTGGAGCCTGCCCTGAGCGATACCTCTCAGCACAGCCTGGTGTCATGAGCCCTTGGTGAACTGTGATACTGTTTTCATGTTGTGGGGTCGCTCCTTGTCTACCCACTTCTCTGAGTCCCTGCCCCCTCCCTTGGGATAGCCCCCTCTTCTCCCCTCCCCCGCACTGAGGATCTCCTTGCCCCTCCCTGCTGCCTCTCAGCATGGGCCTCGGCCCGGCGCTGGGCCAGCCCTGACAGCTATGCCTCCTACTTTGGCTCGGGACTCCCTCCTCGTCCTGGCCAGCTCTGCAGACCCTCCTGGAGTGTGAAGAGGCATGCGTGCCATCACCTGGGTGACCCGCTGTCACAGTCTCCCAAGTCCAGGGAGCAGTGTGCAGCCGAAGGCTGAGCCTCCGCTGGTCCAGGTGGTGGCAGGCTTGCTGTCCTCTGCGTGGCCTCCCTGGCCAGCCAGTGACCAGCCTCCGTCGCCAGCTCCTTCTCTCGAGCCTGCAGAGGCAGTGAAGGAGTTCACAGTGGCAGCTTTTGGGTGTGAGGCTCCAATGAGTTGTGCTCAGATGCCCGTGGAAGGCTCCCTATATGCCAGGGTGTGACATTGCACGTTAGTGGCTATTAAGACCACAGGAGAGGACTTCCCTGGTGGCGCAGTGGTTGAGGATCCGCCTGCCAGTGCAGGGGACACGGGTTCGAGTCCTGGTCTGGGAAGATTCCACATGCCGTGGAGCAACCAAGCCTGTGCGCCACAACTACTGAGCCTGCGCTCTAGAGCCTGGGAGCCACAGCTACTGAGCCCGCGTGCCTAGACCCCGTGCTCCACGACAAGAGAAGCCACTGCAAGGAGAAGCCCGTGCACTGCAGTGAAGACCAAACACCGCCTAAAATAAATAAATTAAAAAAAAGAAAGCCCACAGGAGTGAGAGTGCAGTGTGGGGAGTGCGGCGTGGGGCCCCTGCACCCACATTCAGGCCGACAGAAAAGAAAGACACATGCCCACCTGCCCACCTCCTCCTAAGACACCGCACGTATCAAAGGCCACCATCAAAGACTCCCAATAACGGAGTGAAAACTGCCCCTTCCCAGGGGCCTCCAAGGCCCCGTGATCCCACACCCCTCAGCCCCCACCTGGAGCACACGACCTTCACGCTGTCCTTGACCTGGGGGAGCACGTCCCCGTCGGGGGCCTTGCACTTGCTTCTGTCTCCACTCTGAGCGCCTTCCCAGGCAGCCAGGCGGCTCCTCCCTCATGTCTCAGCATCTCTGGCTTTGTCTGTCTTCTGAGAGAGGCCGTTCCTGACTACATTATTGAAAATATCACCTCCGTGTTAACTCTCTGTCCCCTTGTCCCATTCCCCGCCGTAATTACCTGAAGTCGCATTAGCTAACCGCGTGTTTGTTCGTTTGCCACCTGTCTCCCCCACGCAGACGTGACCCCTGTGAGGGCAGGCCCTGCTGTATCTTCAGTGTTTGGGGGCGTAGTGGAGCCTCAGGACACTGTGGAGGGCACGAGTGAAGGGATGGGTGGATGGGAGAATGGGCCAGTGGGAGCCTCTGTGTGTATGCCCAGGCTGGACCAGCTTTCCCAAGAAAGGGAGTGTCACACCACAAAATACATTTCAGATGGATCAAGCCTGTGAAAGGGAAAAACAAAGCTATAAAATCACTGGATGAAAAGAGAGGAGAATATTTTCAAGGTCTTGGAAGATCCTCAGAAGCAAAACAAAATCCAGAAGCTAGAAAAGCAAAGCCTGACAGATTTGACGCCATAAAAATAAAAAGCTGACGCATGGCAAAATTACACGAGGAACAAAGTTAAAGGACATTTGACTGTGAGAAAATATTTAAAACGTACAACGGACAACCGATTAATAGTGTGACATCTAAAGAGATTCCGTGAGCCCGTAAGTAAGACACATACAGCCCAGTAGAGAAAACTGGGCAAAGGAGAGAAAGGGGTAACTCAGAGACTAAGAAACACTCCTGGCCGGTGAACAGTTGACTAGGTCCCTAACCTCAGCAGTCACGGGAAAAACCCACGGTGGTGGTGGGGGCAGAGCTGAAAGGAGGGTCAGGGATGCACCTGTGCCACAGACACGGGACGGGTGTAGTGTAGTGCCTCGTTCAGCGGGAAGCTGAGCTGGGCAGGCTTAGCCACATGTAGAATGCACGCACTTTGTGACCCAAAAGTCCCACTTTTAGGAACATATCCTTGCCAAACGCCGAAGGTGTCGCATGCCTCATGGTCTGTACTAGGGCAAGAAGAAAGCAGAGCCACCTGTGTGTCCCGCGGCAGGAAGGTGGCTGCATGACAAAGAACTATAACAGCCAATAACACGACTCTGCTCTGGCCCTGAGAAAAGCTCTCAGCTTAGCAAGTGAAAATAAAAGCAAGATGCAGAACTACAGCATTGGCAGGACCCCCTTTGCATCTTTGTTCCCCCTTCGCAGCGTTTCCTGCACGTGCATTCACACAGATGTACACACACACCTGTGCAGAGAACCGTCAACAGCAGGGAGCTCTGGGGGAGGTGGGTTGAGGACTGACTTTTCATCTTTCCCGTTTGTTTCTTTATCATAGAATTTTAGCAACTAAAATATACCACTATTGTAATTTTCCAGTAAGGAAAGAATAACTCATTGAGGAAGGATGCGGCTGGGGTGTGTGATGCTGGTAGGTCAAGATGGGAGGCCTGAGGATCGTGGGCCGGCTGGAGCTCTTGGGTGACTGCAGGGCACCTTCAGGCAGGTTTGCTGTCTGTGGAAATCAAGCAGCAGACGCCGCAGAGGCCTCCCTGGAATCCCGGGCCGTGGACTCCCATAGCCCCACTTTTCTTTTGTCTGGAGAGAGATGAAATCCAGATCTCCAGGGTGGGAGTCACAGAGGCAGAGCTGACCCCAGCAAAGAAGCAGGTACCCCTCTTCCGGCATAATCGGGGGCAGGGGTACCCTAGCAACAAGACGTGGCAGGACGCCAGCTCCGGTGTCACCCTTTCAGCTCAGCGATCGTGGGGTGGGGGGGTGTTCAGCAGACCCTGTGCAGTCTGCTCCTCCCTCCGATGATTTCGGGCTCCCCTTCCTAGGAGGCCCAGAACCCCCTCTTCTCATAGATGCATCCACAGTACCTGGTCCATACCCAGGGTGGCCGGAAGCTCAGTTCTGGACGCGCCGATGTAGAGACGGGTACCAGACCGTGGGGCAGATGTCCAGCTCACAGGGGGATGTGTGTGTCTATGTTCAGGGGAGAAGCCCAGCTGGAAGCAGACCTTGGATGGGACTAGAGTCATGAGCTGGTGAAGACAGCCGGGGTGGGTAGGCGGTGTAGAGCAGCGCAGTGGGCCCGGATGGAGCCCTGAGCCTCCTACATCTACGAGACTGGTAATACTAAGGATCGTAGTAATCACTGCTGTGTTGAGCCCAAAGGGCCGGCCCCCGGGGGGGGCAGGGGCTCACCCAAGGCTGTCCAGATAGCACCTAGGGCTGCCTGGTTGCAAAGCCTGCCATCTGGCCCCTGGTCACTCTACTCTGTGTTTCTGTGTCAGACCTGATGTCTCATCTTTGTTTTACTGCCCTTCCCCGCAACAGCTAATGTGACTGAAGACAGCTAAGCGGTTTTGTCTTTATTTCTGCCCCTGACCTTGGTCCTTGAGCTCAGGGAACTGATCAGCTGGCGATTCGAAAGGTTGGGAAGAACTGGAAACGACTGCCAGAGGCCAGGGCGACCTAGCGGGGGCGCTGGGCAGGCGCGCTGGTGGCCGAGGCCCTCGCTTGGTGCTGGCCGGGCACCGGGGCCGGGATGGTCGTGCCCGCTCGCACCGCTAAGGAGGACGAGGATACAGGGGAAGGAGGCCACGCCCGGGGCCAGCGGGAGCTCAGTGGCCGCTGCGCACAGACCGCCCTCTTCCCTCATTTACCCTCCCAGCCCCACAAGGTGGGCTTGTGGCTGTCCTGCATCTGCGGAGGGGTTACGGACACGGGCCACCAGGAGTTGGGCCGGGCCTGTCTGATGTCCCCTCTCAACCTTCTGACCACCAGATACGTAGAGGCTCCCGTATTTGCTAAGCATCAACACACATCTTTCTACACATTTTCTCTGAGGCCTCACAATGACCCTGTGAGTTGGGTATTATGGGCCCCGTTTCACACCAGGAGACAGAGGCCCAGGAAGGTCAAAGAAGGGCACCCAGCCAGCAGGACGCAGCGCTCGCATTCCGACCCCAGTGGCCAGCCGGGGTCTTGACACAGCCCAGCCAGCCCGCCTGGGGAAGAGCCCAAGGACCGGTCACTGCCAGGCTGGTCTCTCCTCAAGACGGCACCCACCCTCCTTCCTTGTCTTGCCATGTTTGATGGACTCTACGATGACCCTTTCTACATTTTGGCATCTTCGCAATCTGGGGGCGTTTTACAGTCCTTGTCAGGCCAGGCTGCTGTTGTGACTCTGTTGTCTTTTCCCGGCACCCACGTCAAAATTTGCAGGATGGGCATCAGTGGCTCAAGAGAAAATGCTGGAGCCAGTAGCACAGCATTCTTAAGAAAAGATGCTGAGCCGCTGTGCTTTGGACGGTGCAGAGGGCAGAACCAGGTGGAAAATCCCAACTCCGACAGCTCTTAGGTCCTAAGAGATTCTCAGGGGTCGGACTCCGAATACCAAGGGATTCTGGGTCTGCTTGACCTGGGGAGCCCCCATTTACATCTTATGGGGGGCTGTGCATGCTCATGCCCCGCCCCCGTCCTCCTGCCGGCTGGTGGTCCTGGGAGACTCACACCAGAAGCCACATGGCCAATGTACAGCATCCCTCCCAGGGGCTCCTGTCTCATCCCGAAAGAGGGCAGGAAAGAGCACGTGGGTGCTCACAGGTGGCAAAGAGGGGGAGTCAGAAGGTCGGTCTGATAGTCTGTAGGGCTGACAATCGTCACCACCTGACTCTGAGCCAAAGCGGAGAGGAGGGTGAAGCCTGGGAGCCGGATCCTGCACCCTCTGCCGAATGGGTACCCACAGCCCTTCATGGGTGTGGCTCATGGCTCTGTTGCTAGGGCCCCATCCTGAGCCCAGCCCAGGGCAGGCATCTAACTGGTGTTCGCTGACTGCATGGCAGTTGCACATGGCTTTGGAGTCTCTGCGACATGGGTTCAAATTATGCATCAGCCACTGCTCTGAGCCTCAGTTTTCTCATCTGTAAAATGGGGATATGATGTCTTCATGGTAGTTATTGGGAAGGTGAATTAAATGACGTCCATAAAGTACTGGGCTTCGTGGCCGGCAGGGATAGGTGGGAATATATCTGAGGATACCAGTTATCATGATTTATCACAGCACAAGGGTGGGATGAAGAAGTGGGCCAAGTGTGAACTTTAAGTCCTGTCGTGGAAGGAAATTTCCAGAAGCTCCACGCAGCACTTGTGCTAACCTCCCACTGGCCAATCGCACGGCCACACCCAGGTGCCAGGGTGTCTGGGGGAACGTAGTGTATTCTGGGTGGTTCTGTGCCCAGTGAAACCCAGGCTTGTGTTACTGGGAAAGGTGGGAGAATGGACATGGGGGGTGGTCCCCACCCGCAGCCTCAGCCACGGGGCCTCATGTCCTCACCTCACCTGTGTCTTGCGAGGCATGAAATACCGGCTTCATG